TTTCATATACACTGATTTGCAGTCACAGCTGTCTCTGTTTTCCCGTTGAATACATGGACTATATATTCAACCATTCCACCTCTGTTTGTTAGTTTGTCTTTCGTCTTAATTTGGTATGTTGATTCTCAGTAGTGTCTTTGTATCCTGCCTTAGTCGCGAATCTTGTTCTAGTTATCTGTCATAGTTTCTTGTTTTGTTTACTATTTTGTTACTTAGTACTTTGGATATTTTTTATTTTTGTCACTGTCACTGCACAATAGTCATTAAAATCTGCACTTGGATTCTACACCTGTTTTTGTTCCCGTTTTACAATGAGTTCATTACGGTACTCAAATGGCCTCCACAGTCACCAGTTCTCAATCCAATAGAGTGCCTTTGGGATGTGGTGGAATGGGAGATTTGCATCATGGATGTGCAGCAAACAAATTCTGCAGCAACTGCGTCATGCTGTCATGCCAATAAGGACCAAAATCTCTGAGGAATATTACTAGTTGGATATGTACCATGAATGATTAAGGCAGTTCTGATGCCAAAAGAGGGTTCAACCTGGTACTAGTAAGCTATACCTAATAAAGTGGCCAAGAGTGTGTATTGCATCACCAAAAACTCACAGTGCATTAACACTAAGCATGAATTTAGATGTTAATAATGCATTAGTAAATGTTGAATGATGATTAATAAATGCAGTATTGTTCATAATTAGTAAATACCTTAACTAATGAGCCCTTATTATAAAATGTGACCAACATATGTTAGTCTAAGGCCATGGGAGGGGAGCAGCGTGTGTTTAATCTAGTTGTTTGTGTGTCTACATACGAGTGAGCTCATTTGTTTGTTGGTTACAGCACAAATAAACACTTCGGATCCTCCTTCGAGACACACGTCATGATCTCAGAGCTACTATATCACAAACACGCAGCAGACGTGACACAAAGTGCTGTGCAGAAAGCAACAGGTGCTTGATTTGATTCCAGTTTCTGCGCCGCTGCTGAGAATGTGTCTGTTTACAGGTACAAAGTCTACAGCATTTTCACGTAGAGCTCGCAGGGAACACAAAGGCGACTCTATTTCTTGTCTGAATGGATGCGTTAACAATTAACTGCAGGGAAATGAGGTACGGTATCGATGTAGGAAACCATGTAGTTGCTTATTATACAGTGTACACACATGCACTGCAAAAAAAGACTTTCAAACTCAGCATACTTGCCCTGCAAAAAATGCTTTTCTTACTTAAAGTTTCTGCCGTGTTTCTGTCTAAATACCTAATTATTCTTAAATCAAGAAGCATTTTCTAGACAAGCATAAAATAATGCCCTGTTCTCAGATATAATGAGGCTAAATGAAGAGGGTTGTTCCTTAAAACAAGCAAAATAATCTGCCAATGGGGTTAAAATGACTAAATACACTGCAAAAAAAATATTTTTTGCTTAGATTTTTATCTTGTTTCTAGTCCAAATATCAAAAATTTCTTAAATCAAGAAGAATTTTCTAGACAAGCAAAACATACTGTCTTGTTTTGAGAAATAATAAACTTATATTAAATGAGTTTTTTCTTAAAACAAGCAAAATAATCTGCCAATGGGGTAAGCAAATTATTCTTACGTCAAAAGAAAAAACAGTGCAGTGTTTTTGCAGTGTTATCTTGTTTTCGCTTTGAAAAAGTCTAAAAAAGACAAAAAATATGTTGCTTTTGTAAAAATGCTTCTTGAGTTGAAGTCAGAATTATTAGCCCCCTTTTGATTTTATTTATTTATTTTTTTTTATATTTCCCAAATGATGTTTAACAGAGCAAGGAAATGTTCACAGCATGTCTGATAATATTTTTTTCTTCTAGAGAAAGTCTTATTTGTTTTATTTCGGCTAGAATAAAAGCAGTTATTAATTTTTTAAAAACCATTTTTGGGACAAAATTATTAGCCCCTTTAAGCTAATTTTTTTTTAATAATCTACAGAACAAACCATTGTTATGCAATAACTTGCCTAATTACCCTAACCTGCCTAGTTCACCTTATTAACCTAGTTAAGCCTTTAAATGTCACTTTAAGCTGTAGAGAAGTGTCTTGAAAAATATCTAGTCAAATATTATTTACTGTCATCATGTCAAAGATAAAATAAATCAGTTATTAGAAATAAGTTTTTAAAACTATTATGTTTAGAAATGTGCTGAAACAATCTTCCCTCCATTAAACAGAAATTGGTGAAAAAAATAAACAGGGGCGCTAATAATTTAGGGGGGCTAATAATTCTGACTTCAACTGTATGTATGTGTGTGTGTGTGTATATATATATATATATATATATATATATATATATATATATATATATATATATATATATATATATATATATATATATACATATACATACATACAGGTTTATTGGAGGACTCAGGCAAGCAATGGTCAACACGGGTGCAAACAGATGACAATCCAGAATCGTAGTCAAAGTATTAGGCGAGATGTCGGAAGGCAGGCGGCAGACAGGGACAAAAAGACAAACTTGGCAAAGGTCAAAACACGGAAAAACAAGACTAGGAAAATAAGTGGAAATGTCACTTTAATGATAACAAGACTCTGTAATGGGAGTGAGAGTGTGTGCTGCTTAAATAGTGTGTGTAATCAGTCTTTGACAATCCTCTGGTGGTGCAAGTGTAATCAGTCAGAATGAGGAAGCGTGTGTGAGCGGAGTGCATGGATGAAAATGTAGTCCATGAATGGCAGATTTGTAGTCTATAAGTTATTGTGAGTGAGATCAAGTGATCTTAGGATGTATATATATATATTTAATAGATGGGCATAGATACATTTTTTAACTCTAGATTAGTCTCACTGTAATCTTGGAATTGATCTAAATTAATCTAGGTTAAAATGGCTCATTTGAATTCTGCCGAAGGCATACCGAATTTTGATTGCCTTAATTCGACTAAAGTCATAACTGAACTAAACAAAAAAATGGAATTAAGACATGTGGAGTATTCAAATATTAGTGGCATTACTGAAGTAAACATCGCAATCAAACTATTACCGTCATGTTGGACTTTCGCCATATTTTCTGACAAGATCCACACACACGCACGAAAACACACACCAATTGCGAAATGTGAAAGTTTTTTTCTTTCCGTTCAGCGTGCGTAATTAAATTCCATAACACTTTCACCAGTCCTTACTCCCTACTTGCGTCTAACATCCCAGTTTGAAACGGGGGTAAGAATTAAATGTTCATGAGTAAAACTGCCGAACTGCAGTTAAAGTCACCCAAAATTACAGGAAACTCTTACATGAAAGCACTTCGTGTAAACACCTTAATTATATTCTATTAAGGCAAATAAGTAGATTACAGATGTCCATGTACGCGTAGTCAATAGTGCAACCCAAGCTCATTATGGAAATGTAGCTCCGCGGACGTTTCTGGAGACCGCAATTTACGTGGCCGGAGGTACGTAAGGCCGCGTTTAGTTTTTTTCGAGCGAATGCTGCGGGGCGGTGTGGCGCCGCTCCGCCCCTCCTCTTCGCGCTCGCCGTCCGACGGCTCGCCTCCGAGTGGAGGGCTTTGCCGATGCAACCAGTTTGTCCGCTTAGCTCACAGCGTTGCATCGGCGGAGCGGAGGCCCCGGAGGAGGAGCTGGCCGCGGGGACGAAGACCGGGATCGAGTCCGGGGAACAGCGGTTCCGGAAATCAGGTAAGACGATAAACGGAATCCGAAAAATAAGGGCGAGAACGCGGCGGGATCCGAAAACGCGGTCGAAATCGAAGACGAGGGCTTTTGCTTTTTTCTTTTTTTTTCTGGACGGTTTTTGCGAACCGTCGCTCGGGTTTAGGGAAGGAGGAGAAGGTGGAGGAAGAGGAGGGCAGCCGAGTCGGCCGATCCGGCAGCTTTTCGCGCAAGAACTGCACGGGCGCGAACGGGGCGGCTCCAGAGAGGCGCCCGAGACACTAAAAAGCGCGCACAGCGGCCTCTCGCGGATCCGTACCTCCCGGGACGTAAATCGCGGTCCGCAGAAACGTCCGCGGGGCTACGTTTCCACAATGAGCCCGGGTTGCAATAGTGTCTCTGAAGTAAGTGAAAGATTCAGAGGTGCATCCTGCTGATTTGATTCAGAAGGGCACTTTTTTTTTTGTCAAACGGCTCTCCGGTTTGACTTTCATTCACCGTCATTCATTTTAAAAAGCACCCGGTCCATTTTAGTTGTATATGTTTTACTTGAACGCATAAACTCTACAGGGGCCTGATAGTTAGATGTGGAGCTAACATTAATCAGATTCACTATAGTGAACTACATCCATGTTAGCATGTCATGTTTGATGTGGTAATTTCACAGTAGGAATACACACAGGTTCGAAGACTCGTTCTCTACAGTGCAATTCGGTCAGGTATGCATCCGCGCTAAAATATCAAGGTGAAAATCATCATAGCTTAAATAGAATAGACCCAGCTCCCAAACCAACTTTGAGAATAGATTAACAATGATATTTTTTTAAATCGCCCAATAAGAGTCTTGCGTTACGGCCCACCCCTAATGCTGAAACATAATTAAAAACTAATTTTAACTACATCTCTCTTTATGTCATGTCCCTTGGAAGGCCAAATAGTGAAACAGAACAAGATCAATGGAAATAGCAATGTTTGGGTGGCATTTTCCTTTCTCTACTAATGCGTCTATGGCCACACCCCTTTGCTGCGCGAGGTGTGTGTGCGCTAAATGCGCGTAATCTGGAACGTTTGTGATCTCACAAGCCAGGATGTGTTTTTTGTAGTCCCCAAATTCGTTCGCTGTGTGCTTTGCTAAGCTAACTCTGTAAAAGCCAATGTCTCCCTTTGCATTGAATGTTGTTTATGTTCACACAGCTACATTACACATCAGCTAAAGTTTACAATATGATATCGCAGTGGACCACCCCTTAAATAAAGCATAAACATATGCATAAGCACACCACATACACACTTTCACGCACATTTACATGCTTAAAACTTGAAGTTGAAATCAAAGCACGTGTCCTACCTGTTTCCTTTGAAGACGGCAGCATTGGGTGGCTGCAAGGGTGAGCGCAATGGGATGAAGGCCGACCCGACTGCGCTCCCACCGCCCCTCGCTCCCCGAAATATGGTGGCTTTCTCCCCGAGGCTGCCAGAGGTGTGAGTCTCATCCAGGGAGTCATTCATAGCACTCATGGAGCCAGCTTACAGTACATCCAGCAGCTCATCTGGATCACAACACAGCACACACACCATCAGGAAAGAGTGCGTGAAGTCAGCGTGCTCCTGGAAAACACACACGCACATGCATAAACCCATGCACACACACACACGCACACACAAACACAAGCATGGCAGGCCGTCCTAGCCTGGGAAGTAGATCCCTCCTTCCAAAACATGATCCGCAATAAAGTTATTTTTAACTCTATGACTCCTGAATGAGCTCGCCTCTTGTGCGCACACACACACACACACTGATACAAATGTGCACACACACATAGACAGACACACACATACAAACAGTCAGACACGCAGACACAAACCCTTATATGAACACAGGCACATGCATACACAAACCTGCACACACACACACACACACAAACACAGCTAGACACATAGACAAACACAGACACAAACATGCACAGACACATGCACATACACTGACACAAATGCGTGCAC